TCTTTTAATCTACTTTTGAAACATTGATTTATTTTAAAACATCGTGCACATTTCTAATTCGAAGTCACATGGGAAACAAGCAATATTTCGTTAAAAATGAGGGCAAGAGCATATATTTATAAAGACAAAAAATGATTAAAAAATGTAGACAGTTTTTTGTTCGCATAGATAAAAAAGAAAACTTAAAATAACAAGAATTTTTCAAAATAACGATAATTATTGTTGATAATTATCGCTGATTATAATCAGTTGAGTCCCTAGCCGAAACAAATATCATTATTAAATTTTAAAAAAGTATCATATCATATTGTATGTTCTTCATCATCGGTTTTATTAAAATTCATCCGCACAAGTTTTGATTTTTAAAAAAATTTAACTTTTTTTATCGTCAACCGACAAAATTTGCATGTTATCAACAATTTTTGTATAATTCATGCATAATTAAGCCTTAACCTTGAACAGCGCGATACCTTATTGTGAAAGCAGCTGATATAAACTTATTACTAATTACAATGCTACTTCTTGCAAACAATATGTCATTTGCAAAGTTCATTGTTACATGGCTGTCTGACTAGTCGACGTAAACGATGTATTCTTTTGAAACGCTTATCGCTTCTTCCTCATTAATCACGCACACATTTAATAATTTATTTTAATACAAATTATGCTAATTAAAGAAAATACTAAACAAGATATTTTTAGATTTGATTAATCGATAGAAATCCGGAAGTGTTTCGAACGCGAATCGTATATATAGTCGTCGGTACACGTCGAAAAATGAGAGCTTCTAGTTGTCAACTACAATTGATTTTTTGTACGTCCACTCACAAGGTGCAGAAAAAAATTTGCCAGAAATTTCGCAAACATGTTTCGCTTTTTCGTGGTGGCCGCGGCACTCTTCGTGCTGATCGATGGACAAATCCAGAGGTAAGCACACACATCGTATTGCATTATATATTGACGTGATAAATATCAAATTTATAAAGGTCGATCTATTTCGTTATCGCATCCGACTTCCTAAAATCAGTACGAAATCTGCGCAAATGCGATTGCGTTTTAAGAATTAGACAAAATTTATTTATACAAAAATGTATGTGTTCGTTTATTAATAAAAAAAATAAAAATAGAATGTTTTTGAAAAAAGATTCTCTATGAATTCATGAAGCACGCGCTATTGTCTAATTTATCGCGGTATCCTTATCACATTTCTAATAGTAAACTATTTTCTGACGTGTAAGCAGATGAACTATATATTTGTAAGTTGCTTTTTCTTATTTGTTTATTTGACGCTATCTCCACATATACCCTTTTTTTAGTAAATACAGTCATTTATAAGACGGGAGTCGATGGGAATCAGGAAAGGCTTTTAACTTTCAAATGTGTATTTAGTATTGATAGATTTACTCGTCTTGCCGCGGCGAGGGCTCGGGACTGACTGACTGCTTAGTTATGTCCTTCTTTCACCTAGTGCCTGTTTACACTTTCTTAATCCGTCTCGCTTTGTTTTTACACATCTAAAAAATTTCGAGTCATCTCTTTGTTTTTAGGTATCTAAGATTACATACAACGATATCTTTAACTAACACTCAAAGTCTCTGTTAAATTGTAATGCCTTAATATAAAACTTTAGACTTTAAATTAAATAATATTTCAGATATATACGAAATGTAAAAATTTTATAATAAAAAAAATATCGGTTTAATTTATTAAAGTTTGTTACATAATAATGCTTATATAATCTTTTGTATTTATATTGAAATTATGTATAATGATTTTGATTATTGTGACAATTATACATTTATGACTTCCCTATAACTTATATTTTTAAAAAATGTTTGTTCTATGTATTAGTAAAAATATAACTATACATTATATATGTATATGTGTGTATACGTATGCATGTAACAAAATGTTCTTTATATTACTTTAAGGATTACATTGCACAAGACAGATTCTGTTCGAAAAACTTTGAAGAAAGTTGGTATCGACGTGCAAAAAGTTTTGGCCGAAAATCATACTTCATCGGAAGGTTTGAGCAATTATCTAGACGCGCAGTACTATGGTAATATCAGTATCGGAACTCCGCCGCAGAACTTTTCAATATTATTTGATACTGGTTCCTCAAATCTTTGGGTACCATCAGCAAGCTGCAGCATTCTCAATTTGCCTTGCTGTAAGTACCTTAATATATACAGAATAATAATCAATTTGAGCTCATAAGTACATAGCAATATTTTTTTACGCTCACGTGGCTTACACACACGAATGTATGTTTGTCTAACAGAAGGCGAATTGAGAAGAATTTTATTTCATACTTCCTTCTTAATTTCAAGCATTAAAATGGTTATAAACTTTTCGATATTTCTCACTAAAAAATATCGCTATATACTTACAATTAATAAGTGCAATTTAATGAACACTCAGAACAAGC